AAAGCTTCGAAGGATGCAAATAAGTGCATTCATTTTCACGGTTGTTTATTTTAAATACCATTTCAAAATAAAGCAAACATCTAGAACCATTAAAAGACCTACTTTTGAATTACTACTCACTTTGAAATCTTCATAAGTTGGAGCAATCAATGCGTAAATATTTCCTAACAATTCTGTATATCCTGCCAATACCTCAAAACCTTTTTCAATACAATAGATCTGTAGTGGTTGCTACACAAATTGGCCGGACGCAGTCTCAAAAGTCCTCTCTAGTGAAATCCCGTTAGTAGTTTAGTTTTTGATGACACAGTGTAACCATAGCTGAACAAAGTCTTCTCGTGAACACCCTCACAAACTCCAAGATGTGAATTGCTACTTGTCGAGTAGGGTGCAAGTGTGGCCTTGAGCTCAGAGATCTCTCAGACCACAACCAATCAAAAATCTCTGCCTCGTTTAACCGACCCAAGAAAAACTCTGTGCAAGGCACACACAAATCAAATAAAAGCATTAAATGGCATACGTCTGTTTCCCCTATGTCGTTGGGGGCATCTTGGCATAGAGGTTGCTAAGGATAAGTCTTAGCTTACTATTGAATCAATCCACTGCAGCATGGTTGGAGTATGGGATCTCAAGAGTTATCGAACATTCCGGAATGGGAGTTCTGAGATCAGCATACATTTAAACTATTCTCTGAGATGTTGCATGATGTCGAATCCTGTTGTTGGCACACACATGACCCAGTGTTGGCCACTTTCATTAAACAGCCGGTACTGAGCATTCTATTGCTGTAGCCAACAAATTCACCTAGTCATTCGATTTCAGCTTAAACCTCTCCCAAAACTGTGCAAGAAGAAATGACAATAGAGCACACCAGATGGAGGCGGACATACATGGAAGATAGAGGAGAGTTTTGTGAATTCAATCTGTGTGACTCGAGAAGTGTCCTTTGGACTGCGTGTAGGCCAAACTAATTCATATTCCTTACCTTGTACTTTTATCACTGCAACAGCTTACCTGGACAGGGAGAAAGATCTCACTCTGTAAAGACTTTAATCACAAACATCTATTTCATTGATTCAAATCTTTTAGGCTTCCACTCTGTTTAATGCCCCCGATTTACTCAATGAAGACTGCTTTGAACTTTGTGACTATTTCAACACTAACCTAATTAGAAGTCGGCAAAATTAGAGCAAACTTCGTTCTTAACACAAATAGCTTTGCACCAATCGCTAGTTAGATCTACCAGATAAATTTCTAAGGAAATTTCGCTTTGAAAACCAGTAACAAAACAGAATAAAATATGATGCTATAAAACAAATAAACGCTAAAATTAAGCACTATTTAATTGATGAATACATTATTTACCACAATACTCTCTAAATTAAACATACAAAATTAGTACTTTATTTTCAGCTTTAGAACATTGTTTATTTATTATTGAACTTCCTTATTGAAAAACAATATAAATAGAAACCCTATTTGAAATTACACATGTATTAAAAAAGCATGAAAACTGTCCATTTTTCTTAATTTGATTCATCAAACGCAATTAAGAACCTCAATTCTCTTGAAATCTCATTATTGATGGAGACGGGAACAAGTGCGATTGGCATAAATACTTGGATCAAATGACTCCATGTCATACGAACCTGTCTCACGCTCCCTTCTGACTCGATCGAAATACCACCGTTCCAGTTCATCGTAGGCTTCTGGGTGGTAGTTAGCATGAAACTTGTTTGCAAACAAATGTGGTGCCTTCTTTAATCTCTCTACCTGAGGATTCCCTAAAATGCAAACATCTCGAACGAACTTAGTAGGACAGGGTATAGGGTCTTCTCTCCAGATAACAAATTTCGCCAAATATCCCATCTGATTTTCATGAGGAGGTAGGGGAAATACCAAGCAGGTACCAGGAAGTTTGAAATGTGGATTATAATTTAATGTGTTGAAGTAAAATTCATCTGGATTGCGAAACATTTTCGGCTGAATCATATAATCACGAATAATGCTCAAGCTTTTGCTCAACACTGCCTTTTTCAAAAAGTCCCTTCTAAAGGCTCCATATATTGATCCTTTGATCCAAGTTGCCTAAGTTAAGCAAACCGAATTAGTTTAATTATTAAAGGAGGGGGTTGTATTTAATTCTTTGTTGTCATTACTTACATTTAAAGGCAGACTTTTATTTCTTGTACGTGTAACAAATTTACCGAGTGGAAAGCCTTCCACAAGATTGGATCCATTTAAAGCTTTTAATGCGGCAATAATTTCCAGATTTGTTTTAAGAGGGAACTCCTGACCTACAATATTAATGAGATATCTCCATGTTGAGTGTCTTCGTAGGGCCTGCTCTGCACATATAAACTGGGGCAACAGAACGGTCTCTTCTCCCCATGTCACCGCGATACGTCTGCTCCTTGGAACCAGTTCAACATTGGATCCAAAACATGAAGCCAGTGTCTCAAGACCTTTTACAAATTCGTCACTTGATCTGGCGTCAGTATGAATGCAATAGTAGTTGTTTCCACGATAGATCATTCGAAGAAGTCTTGCTATTTGCTTAATATCCTTGTGAACCACCATAGTGTATGCAATATCCATATCGCCGTCTGCACCGTCGATTATGGGATATTGGCTGCGAAGTAATTGACAAAATTGGTTATCTGATGAATAATTTTTTTCAAACAAGGTTATTGGTTTAGAATGAGAGGGGCTCTGTGAGTCCGGAACATTCTCACTTATCAAGTTGGAATTCCAGAAGTCACCTTTCAGGCTGTATAGTATGAATAGGCCAAACAGTAATGCCACTCCCAATGCAGTCAAGTAATTACGTATGAGCAACCACATATTTCTCGAAACAAAGTGCAAATATCATTTATTATTCATTAGCAATAAATATGTATATATATATAGTGCGTGTGTGTGAGCATAAACATCCATCAATTTAAATGATTGGTTGTTTTAAAATCATAAATACGCAAAAATCGATTTTTCACGGAGTGCACTTACCAGGTCTCTTGTTTGTGATTATTAACTAATCTATTTGACAGACTCTCGAAAGATGTATTTTATATATCTCATATATTAATCAACCTCCACGCGGTGAACACTGATCAAGGTATGCACATACGGAAAAAATCTATAAATCGGCAGTTGACTTCTCACTTCCAACTTCCATGACCCCACCCTATGTCATATTCCACCAATACCAGTGTACTCAACTTACCTTTTTCTCTACCTTCGTGTCTGTTCCTTTTAGATCTGTGAATCACTCTTTTGTTCACTCTTCCATATCGTTTTTTGTGACTTTAATGCTTCTCCTCCTCTCTGTGAAGTCCGAAATCAACAAAAGGGCTAATGATAACAAACATAAAGCCTGTCATTTGATACAAATAAATATTAATCAACCTTACATCCGAATTTATGTTTGAAAAACTAGTACTCGCTGTTAAAATCTGGACCATTTTAGTTGCATTTTAAGTTGCATCTTTAAGGGGTGTGCGATAGACTTACCTCCACGTGGGGCACCCTGGGCAACGTATACTCATACGGAAAAAAGTCAATTATTCGGCAGTTGACTTCTCACTTCAAACTACCATGGCCCGTCACTGGCAGTTGCTTTCTGACTTCAAACTACCATCACCCCACCGTAAACCGGCAGTTGACTTCTGACTTCAAACTACTATGGTCCGACTATAGTTGACTTCTGACTTCAAACTATCATCACCCCACTGCACTGGTCCATATTCGACTACTTCCACAGTACTCACCTCATCTTTTTCACTCTACCTTTGTGTCTCCATATTCGACTACTTCCACAGTACTCACCTCACCTTTTTATATTCGACTACTTCACAGTACTCACCTCACCTTTTTCCCACCTCACCTTTTCAATATTCGACCCCTTTCACAGTACTCATCTTACCTTTTTCTTTACCCGCCATTTCATATTCGGCTAATTCCGCAGTACTCACCTCACCTAATTTCTACCTTCGATTCGCCCCCTTTCACAGTACTCATCTTACCTTTTTTATAACTTTGTGTCATATCTGTCTACCTCTTTTACATCTGTGAATCGCTCTTCTGTTTCCCACCCTTCGACTTTCTTCTACTTTGATAAAGATTAACTCTGTGAAGCCCGAGGTCAGCTAAATGGCTAATGATAGCTATCAAAACGCCTGCCATTTGAAATTAATAATAAATAAGTTGCATCTTTACTGGAAAACTTCTTCCCATTAATCAATACCTCCAATAGGCAATGTTAAAGTTGTACTTTACTACAAAAGTATGCATAACGATAATTGTGTACTAACTTTTCATTTGTAGTTCGTCTATTCACCAAGGTTACTATAGCGGGTACTTGCTGTATGAAAATATCATACTACTGGGTGTCCCTAAATCAAGAGTAATTTATTTATTTATTTCAAATGACTGGCTTTATGATGCTTATCATTAGCCCTTTAGCTGACTTCAGGCTTCACAGAGGGTAGGAGGAACATCAAAGTGACAAAAAGTCGATAGGGAGGACAGGAGACTGTTTCAAAGAATTGAAAGAGACAGACAGACACAAAGGGAGAGAGAAGGCAAGATGTATACTGTAGAAGTGGTTTGATATGACATACAGTCGGGTCATAGTAGTTTGAAGTCAGAAGTCAACTGCCCGTTTATAGACTTTTTACCGTATGAAAATGCGTTTCCCAGGTTGCATCACGTGGAGGTAAGTCTATAGTACATCCCAATAAAGAAAAAATACGTTGTTCCTATTAAACTAATTTAATTGAATTAAGCTGGAATGGTCTTTCCGTTGAATATACATCGAAATTAGTTAGATGTGAACCATGAATAATTAAAAAAAAAACATTTTCATTTGCATTACCCCAAAACAACTGTAACTTCAAAGTGTGGGTGATAGGGAAGTCGTGTGTTGACTAAGTTGATGGTTAAGGTGGTTTAAAATAGTACTGACGAATCGATCTTCTAACCCCATGGATGATCTGCTCATTTGTTGACAACTTTAACTGGTAGTCGAATGAAATCTACCAGCTGTGAAATCGCCGACAATCTTTTCATTCAGGTATTTTACTGAAAGTGGAAGTAAAATCGATAAAATAGTTCATCTAACGAGTGCGTTATTATTTCAGGCCCCTCTGATGATCTGAATCATTGCTTTTGCGGCCACTCGGGCATTTGTTTCAATTTCCCAATACTTCTACTACTACTAATAATAATAATAACAATAAGAATAAATACGCAGTGCCGAGAGTCAAATTTTTTTGTTACTTCAATGCTTACTTAACAACTCATTTAAAATCAGTTGCCTTTGTTTTAATTTAGAATCTCGTGACAAAATAGATCCGCTTTCAAAGGAGAAATAGAGGCCATTAGGATAGCACTATGCCTATTATGTTGCCTGGATACGAAATACACCAAAGCGGTGATACTTTCGGACTCACAGTCAGCAATAAACTCAATTGGAAGCAGAGAGCCACCTAAAACAGCTGAGATAAAGGAATGTAGAAAACTCTATCAGCTGATGAGAGAGAATAACAAAACAGTGGTCCTACAATGAATTCCTGGTCACTATGGCATTAAAGGTAATGAGATTGCTGACACACTTGCTAAGAAGGGGACAACGATTTTGCAATGCATGGACCGGCCGATGTCTTTCCACACAATGAAGGCCTTAATCAGGAGAGAATTCCAGACCTCAAGGTGCAACGAACTTAAAGCTTGAACAAAGGAGAAACAGTGGACAGTGGCACTCTCCGATATAGCCGACTGGCCAAGAATCGAAGCTGTTGCTGAGTTTAGACTACGTACCGGACACAATTGCTTGACAAAACACCTTCACAGATTTTGAGTATACACTCAACCCACATACCCCTATGTAACCTACAGGAGGAAATGGAGAAGACCCACCTGATTCAGTGTCCAGCCCTAAAGACAACGATGGAAATCCAGAGGTACTGGGAAGCAGGAAGACAGCTAACGAACTGCTATTAATTAACTGCTATATATGTACCCCCCCCC